ACGTCTGCTAGGATTAAAACATATAGCATAAAAAAGATTCAATCCGATGATGAACGCCTGGACTAGATAGAATTACAAAAGCACTTTCGTCCAGTGGCATGAAAATCCCTGCGGGCTTAAAAAAACCTCCATTCCCCCAAAAGTCGCAAGTCGACAGACCCATACATGAAAACAAACTTATATCAACAGTTTTGCAAAATGCAGAGCAATGATCAAAACTCAATCATGTAGAATGTTCGATAACTCAAATAATCATATCCATAATCTACATAACGCGAGCAATATAGTCCTCAGACATTAAACGTTGCAAAAGAGAGCTCTTTCCAACTCTCTCTCACCAAATTGCTAGACAACTTCCCCCGGCCCGAACAATCATGCGCAAGTCACGGAAGCAACAACTAAAATTCGAAATTTTTTCACCTGCCACCTCACTCAGATTGACCCAGGAACTCGAGATTCATGCTCACTCCAGGCCCTATATAACGAAATCGACGATTCAACAATACCGCACGAGATCTACCGCCAAAATTCCTACTACGAGTACGCAGAACAGCACAAATCCCAAATCCTCCTTCCAGGCAGCACAATCCGAGCGACCAAAAAAAATCACAAATTGGGCCTCAAAACCCCCAGATCGATTGAAAAAGAGAGCACCCAAATCATCAAACGATGACAGAGCGCGAGAAGGAGAGCGAGTATACCATTGCTTGACCCACTTGACGGCGGGGGTCTTGGCCTTGAGGAAGGGGCGCCGGTCGAAGATGCTGTTGTGGTGGGCGTAATGGGACTCCATCTTCGGATTGCGCTCGCTCCGTCGCTTCGCTACACCTCCATATCACCAATCGAAATCCGAGCAGTTCAAGAACTAGGGTTTCGGGAAAAATCGCGATCGGGACGACGACGACATCGACGCGAATTAAGGGAAGAGATAGAGAGAGAGAGAGAGACTGTCGGAAAGCTTAAGGTTGGTTTGTTCACCGGAGGAGCCCGTAACCATTAAAATTGTGAAATTTAAATAGTTAATATGCGATTGAGTTATATATTTTTTGAATTAGTGGACAAGCGGTTTGTATTTTTTTCGGGAAAAAGATATTGCAGGTGCCATAACTTTCGCTCAATTTGTACCGGAAATTATCAGCGAATCACTTTAGTGCCTAACTTCGATTTGGGATACCGGAAATACGGCGTTGTAATATTTTACCATTTTTTCCGACGGACAAAGTTGCTAGAAATCTAGCCAAAATTCAATGGAAAAAGCCCTAAAATCATGTCGCTGCGCATGAAAAGCCCCGGATTTAACGGGAATTCGAGGACATATCGTTCAATTTCCCCCTCTGCTCCAAACCCTAATTCAGACCGATGATTTAAGGGCAAAATTAAGAGCTGAATCTAGCGATGGAGAAGAGAATAACCACAAGCGGCTCAAGTTCGTGCCAACAAAGCCAAGAAGAAAGTAGAGTATTACCGCCAAATCACTCACCTTTTCCCTGTTGCGACATTCCTCCCTCTAACATCATGCCCTAATTTTTTTTTTTCCTTCAAGCACCGAGCCTTAATTTTTTTTTCCTTGCGCCGATTGAGTGAGTGAGTAAGAGAGGATGCCACCGATTGATTGAGTCACTAGTGAGAGAGAGAGAGAGAGACAGCGCGCGAGCAGGCGAGCGAGAGTGCAAACGGCGACAAAAGAGAGATTCTCAATCAACACAGAGAAGGAGATTCCAAGTCTACAGGGAGAGGGATTTGTCTTAATGATAGAGATATTCCATTTGAGGGGTGCGACGTCGTTTAGGTATAGAAAGGTCACTCGTCTTCCATGTTGGATATATTATTTCATAAAAACCACATAAACACATAAGTGATCGTTTTTTTTCCGATTTGGTACTTAAGTGATATGGCGAAAAGTTTTGACGCTAAAGTGAGCGTCGTACGAATATCATGACACTTCTAGTGTCATTTTCCCCTTTTTCTAACTATTTCGATCATTTCTACGGGTGATGATAGTTTGATTTACATTAGTAAAGGATTCGAACAAAATAATGAATGATAGGAAAAACATGGACATTTCCGTAAATACGCGTACGACGCCAAATGCCACAACTTGCTTTATAGGATAGAAAGATAAGTAGGTACATAATGTCTAAATTTTCCGATTCCATTAAAGGCCACCTCGGGACATTAATTATTCCGTTCACATGCATTGGTGGCAATGGTGGCCTAAGGTTTTTTTGAACGGGAGATCCGTGATTTAACAAGAAATGTATCGTATCGAAATCAAGTCGTTAACCGCTCGGTTGATGCAACACCGAGTACAGAGATTTCGAAAAATTGTCGTTTGCTAGCCATAATAGCTATTAACTCCGTGTAGAAAATCTTGGTGAGTTTAGTGAGATGATGCAACTAATCGTCGGTGAAGTTTGGATGATCCTAAGTAAGAAAGATTGTGCTCGTGGATGATGTCACTGATGTTCATTTGGCAAAACACTGGGGTGAAATGACTCGTTTCATTTCCCCATAGTTGATTGGCTTAAAATGTATTTTGCTCAAAGCAAATAGCGTTTGGTTAGTAATTCTTGATATAGTCTTTTGATTAGGAATTTGATTCTCCGCCATCATCGACCGGCCTCGCACGACCTCGGGCGGAGCTTCACCGGCGACCCGGATCTACAACCTTGGAGGAGATGAGCAGCGGCAAGGCAAGGGCAGGGCCGGAATCTGAAAAAAAAAAATTGTGGTTGGCGATTTCGGAAGAAAAAACGTTCATCGTGACCCCGGAACCCTTCAGAAATGCTGAAAGCCCAAGGGGCCAAAGCCAATTTTTCTCAAAATTGTTCGCTCAAAAATAAAAACCAGCGACGAGCGAGAGAATGCTGCCGGCGTAAAGGATGCTGTTGTATCGCTCGGGGCCGGGGGCGATTCCGCGCGCCTCTTGTGGAGGATAAGAGCGCGCTCGCAGCGGCCGAAAACTGATATTCGGCGGGTTGTAAAATTTACTAAACAATGGTTGATTGTTAAGCTAATGTTTGAGTTGGTAAGTTGCAAAAATCAAATCAAGCAACATACAACTAAGGTTCTGGAAGGTGAAAGAATGTCAATTGCTAGTCAAGTACAAATTGGCAAATCAGAGTGTTGGGTAACTTTTTTCGAATATATTACAGTAAGTAGCTTTTTTTTTTTTTGCTAGAAATTAAACTTTATATTGCAAACAAAGCAATTACAAAAAGGAAGCATTACCTACATTAGAGCGAAATATAAAAAAAGACTCTACTAGTACAATATTTTTAACTCTAGCAGGGAGATCATGGTAAAGAAAAGAGGATTTGGTGCCTATATGATTGGAGGCCCAATTTGCAAGTGCATGAGCAGCTCCATTCTTGGATCTACGGGTCTAGTCCAAGCTCCAACCTGGATTGTGCTGAAATTGAAAGCGAGAATCTGCAACGAAAGGTTGAATACTCCAAGGGCAAAGACCCATTTGCTGTAGGCACTTTGATGAGCTTATAAGCGGATTTAACAGTAAAAATTCCATCAATAGCTGGCTGCCAAATCGGTTTATCCATCTAAATGGAGGATGGAACTTGAATCTAAAGAATGTCTTGGATCGAGGTTGGGCAAAACACCTGAGTTAGACTGTTTACATCCCAAGATTTTGTCCTTGGAATAAAGAAGCTCGCTACTTTCCTTTGCTTTAATATAGGATCAGGATCAATAAAAGAAGGGAGATGGTTTGGTACGTGTGGAATCCAAGGGTGATTACCAACCTCAATTGACTTACAATAAGTAGCTTAATATCAATGATACGAGGGTAAATTCGATACTCGTTAGTAGACTCAATTGTTAGTAACTACATGTTGGTAAAACTCCCTCAAACGTATACAGCAGCTTGATGTAATCAATATTGGTCGGTTCCAATATTCACCGGTAAATTTCAAAGGTCGTACAAACCAACCTGCAAATTGGCAAATGTGGTTGTGAGTTACTTTGTGCAGCTTCAAATGAATAATACTGGTAAATTGTGTTAGTCGATGGTGAAAATGAAATGTAAGTTTGATAAAGTTAGTGATTAATTAGAAATTGGTAAATCCAAATGTTTATCGGTAAGTTACTAAGATATTACTGGCTCAACGATTGGCCCGTGGCTTCAATTTTACTGGGGAGAGGTTACGCTGCTATCAAGCGGCGCTAGTGTAAAAAAAAGTAGCATTTCTTTCTTACCCAACCACGCTTCCTTCTCTCTCCCACACCACTTCGGCACCCATCAACGCGTCTCCACCACAGCGGCTGCCTCCGCGAAGCCACCGCCGCCGCTTTCCCCACTCCAAACCGAAGCCGCCGCCATCTCAGCTTGATCTCACGCCTATCTCTCTCTCTCTCTCTCTCTCATGACTTAAATCTTTGTCATTCTCTACCACGAGCGCTTGACAATGGTGTCACGCCTCGCCATTGAAGAGCTCGACGCCACCTTGAGCTCTGAACCACGCACACGAGGGCATCCCTCTGCTCATCTGATTCTGCACCATCGACAAGATCCATTGAGGACACACGACAACCAAGACTTTTGCAAGGAGAGTGACAGAGAGAGGGGCTTCGTTTGTCTTGGGGACTAAGGTGTAGGGATTTTAGTCTTCGAGGGCAGTGTAATTTTCTTTCTTGAGCTAAAGGTACATGTGGGTCATGGGAAACGTCGGAAATGCTTGCCACGTGTCCCGGCGGCGGCGGCGGCGGCGGCTTTAACGCAGCATAACCTCCCCCATATTACTACCGCTAGTTACAAATTACTATTTTACTAGTCACGGACAATCTACATCAGGATTCTGCATTGCTTCCTTCGGTATTTCATATGTATGATGGAGTTCTTTCTATGCTAGCTTCCCTAAGTTTTATATCAACTGGTGATCAATTTCTCTCCAGGTACAAATATAAGGGGAACCGCCTTTTACACCAACAAGAGCACAGATACTGAGGATCCTTCCAGCAAATAGTACCACGAAATCAGGACAAAATTAGAAAAGCTGTACAGTCTATTGCAACTTAACAAAGATATGTTGCTATGTACAATTCAAGGGATGAAAAGTAAGAGTCAACATGTCGACCTTCACCAGGGAATTTCACGTGTCGGCAAGAATTTACAGTTGAGTGCTTTACAAACTTGTTAATAGCAGACGAACACAACAGCGTCGTTGTGGACCACCCGGTTCATTAACAAATATGCCTTTCATGGAAATGTTATGCTGCAGGATTTTGTAATGAATATGTACAGACTTCTTAGCATCAGATGCGTCAGATGATTGTCGATACCTTGACCTCCTGTACGGAAGCACACGTGTTACTGTCAACATATATCGTTGTAGGGCGCGGTCTATTGAATCAAAATAGAGCAATAACAACACCATAACTACCGTCATGACCAGATAACTTTGTTAATGAATCACCTGTGCAAGAGCTGAGAGGGTTTATGGGTAATAAGCAAGTACCTTGCAGGCTACAATTATGTCTGCAGTGATCAAAGCTTTCTAGTGCATCTTCTTTTCTCGTACTTGCTCCTGAGATTCCGAAGAGAAAAGACCCAAGACCCACATCCTACAGAATTAGAGTGAAACATAAATAGTAGCATCGCGAAGATTTAAAGTAGAGATACAGGACATGTCAACGTATCCGCAAAATCACCAAATCCTGGCAAGGAATTGATAATATTTAGATCAACCCCATATCCTTATTCTACACAATGTTTCACAGAAAAAATTAAGCTGGATCATACTGTACTTAAAACAATTCTGCATAATATCATCCTAAAACATGCGTGCAAGGCCAAGAATGCTTTTTCACATGAAATATCACTTGAAAATATTCCCAACATGTGCGCGAGATAGGGATAGCGGACATGACTACTTAGATCAATGCGGGGGCACTAAAGACTGAAAAGCATTTTTAAAAAAAAAAGGAAAGGCTTTCGAGGAAAAGTTTGTGTGGCCTCAACTAGAAATAAGATGACAAGTTCTTCTGAGGTGGGTCCCACAATGAAGAACAACAGTGTTTAGATGCGGTTCTATCATAGGGATGTAGATTTAAAAGGGATGAGGAGAGATTTTAAAACATATGGAAGTAGACTCGACATAAAGATTTTGAATATTTGGATCTCAATTGAAAAATTAGCATGAAACAGAGAGAATGTAAGTGGATCCACGTACCCAATCCAGATTGGTGGGATAACACTTGGTTGCTGTTTTTAGCATTGTCAGCATTTGAAACAGCATTAGCTACTTTGTCAAGCCAAAATACAATTCTCTAAGCATCAAGAGAGTTCTAGTACTACTATCTCTACAATGTCATGAAACTACCGTAGAAAATGATAAAAACTTCCTAAATGTGTCTCACAAGATCAACAGCAAACATCCACAGAGATAAAATGATACACAAAACCTAGGCGGAGACTTAAGTTTCAATTATAAGATTGTCAAATTGAACAGCCAAGAATTGCTGTTATGTTCACAGTTGCAAAGCAATCGATAAGTGAAGGTAATTCATCCAAATCTGGATATCCTATTGCTGCTAAAATCCATACTCACGTCATACCCAAAAAAAAAGGTGCTGCTTGTCTAAGAAATTGAATAGACACAGAGGAATCTTACGACAAAGTATTGGCTACATAAAATATTGGAAGCCTTCCAAATCCAGCATCTCTCTGCTTTCTTCTTTCAGAAAATATAGCTTGCTCAGCCCTTGAGCTGGTAGCTGTCAACACAAACTGAAAGACGCATTTATTAGTATAAAGAATGCGAATGAATCAAACCAATCTGATCATTCAGCAAAGAGAAGTAAGCACGGTTATATTAAAGAAAAGTATGAAGAACCATGTGTCATCTGCTGATTTGGCAATTTCTTCTGAAGACAATAAAACAGCTAAATGTTGAAGTACATACTCTACACTAAATGGGATGCCTAAGAAGAATATGTGGCCGCACTCCTCTGTAGAATCGATTCAATGACAGAATACCAGCATATCTACTTTCCTTCAGATGCTGGAACGCCTATTCTGATATCTAGCAGCATCAACAGGCTGCTTGCCCAGGGAAACATAAGGGTTTGCTAGCTTCTTGTATGTTTTTTGGTCTATGACCTACTTTAAATTTATTATGTTTCCATGTTAATGAGACAAAGCTTTAAACTTGGAGTCCAATTCAGCATTTATGACATCTATTATAGCACATAAGCACCATTTAGGAAATTTTACAATTAATGCTGATCTAGCGCAGCTAGACCTGAGTTGAGCATGATTCGGATAAAGAATTATATAGATGTTTAGCAGCGAACAGCCAAAGCGGATGATAAGCACGAATTTAGGGGCAGAAATTTGTTAACTAAGGAAAAGACTTGACCAGGGGTTTGAAATAAAGTGTGAGTATATCATTTCACACTTAAAATGAAACTACATCACAAGTGCTCGAGACAATTGCTGAAAATTGACTAAATTTTTTATCAACTAGCAAACAAAAAGAGCTTTAACTATTATAAATGCTTCTAGCATTATATGCACACATTAAAGGCAATAGAGGAAAAGGCAAAGACATACCAGTGGAAAAAGTATAGCCATGACACCATATCCCACTAGAGGTGAGAAAAAGAAAATAGCCAGAACGCAGGGGTTTCCTGTAAGGAATTTAAGCAAATCTATTGAATAAATAGATTGACTTGCCACCGAGTAAACTGCATTTTAGACATGCTCACAACCAGCAAATAAAGAAGCTCACTAGCTCCCAATCAGAATTAGATTATGCCCTGAAATTAAATCTCATTTTAACATTCTCCTAGAAGTACATAGGCGTTGAATCTCCACATGAAATTAAAACATAATAACACTAAATATAATGCCATCTCTGGAAGAAAAAAGAATCATATGAGCTTCAAAGAAACATATGAACCATTTTCCAACATGATATGCTGGGAGACACCATTATAACCCGCACGTTGATTTAGAAGATTCAGTCAAAACGAGGGACAAGCGTGCCGTGACTCAAAAAGTCTGTTATAAGAGATCAACAATGCATGTGTTTTTTTTACAAGCCACATAATTTAACATTCACCACAAGTTGACAAATTTAAGAAGACAAACTTTGACCCAGTTTTAGTTTCTTGCGATTGTTTCAATTTTACCTAACAGGTATACAAAATTCAATTGAACTCTCTGTAGATAAACATAACCCAGTTTGTCATTTCATATGAAATTCTTAAAGCTGATACGGAAAAGGTAATCCAATGTAGTGATCAAAATGACTCCTTACAATAGGAAAGCTCATCTCGCTTATTCAAACAGGACATATTCTATTTAGTCAACATTAGAAAAATCTATTAACTCATTCTAAATATAAGTTACCTAAGAGCAATAAAGTCAATTTTAAACTATGATAGCATACAAGTTGAAGAACTGTATGCTAATTTTCTTGTATTGTCTTTGTAGATAGAATATCATAGTTTAGAATGACATATCTTTACCAGCTCCCATCAGATTAATAAAATTTCGTAAATCAGTAATTTAGGAAGATCAAGCTAATCTAATCCTTCTCTTCCAGATAAAATAGAAGAGCATCATTAAAGTCAACTCTTCATATTATCACTTAACTTCAACCAGTAGTCCCTTGACTCAAGTTCTAGGCTCCAGTTTACATTTCATACTTTTCCATGCAGATCACCAAACTTGACTGCCAGTCTCCTATAGACTATTTCTGGGAAAAAAGAAACCATACAAAGGACATGAAAAGAGCATTATTTAGGGATTATACTCAAACATTCACTTTTATTACTTCTGTCAGATATATCAGCACATCCTTTGCTATTAAAAGAAAGCATATGAAACTACTTTTCTATTCATATGTAGATAATGTCAAGACGATGATGAAAAAGTGTGTAACATAAGAAATAGCATATTTTTCTAACCCCCATGTGCGTGTACGCCATAAAAAAAATTAGCACATCCATTGCAGGAGCAAGAAACAATAAAAAGCCACTGCAGATACTCTTGGATTTGTGGATCCCACATAAACCATGGTGAATAAGTTTTTGACACACACACACACTGAGGCCGCAATGGATCATATTAAGTATCATGATCAGAAATTGCATTTGCGCGTGCGCGCACTGAGGCCGCGATGGATCATATTAAGTATCATGATCAGAAGTTGCATTCACACACGCACACCCCACACACACACTGAGGCCGCGATGGATCATATTAAGTATCATGATCAGAAGTTGCATTACCAAAGCCAGCAAAGAATGCCCAATTGGATTCAAAAAAGTCCAGCCTCTTGTCCAGACTAACTTCAGTAAAGTTCCATTTGTACCTACAAAGTTCCATATAAAAAGAAGGAAAAATGCGAGCAGAATGTGTAACCCAATAAAATACATTGAGAGGATTACATACTCGAAACAGTAATAAGCATACATCCAGGAGAGCAGCAAAAAATTAAGCGGCTTTCCAATATAGGGAACAAATCCTAGAGCATAAACCTGCAAGGTGCAGTAACAACTTCTCAGCTTGTCAGGCATTCATACAAATGGTGTATGAAAAGAAACTGAAAGATGCGGTTGTTAAGGCAACAAAGCAGCAGAAAATAGATCCCCATAAAACTGCTTAAAACAAGAGAATATATAAGGTCTACCATTCAAAAGACTTATTTTGGAATCACAGTTTCAGTATAGTCATATAGCTAAGACATTTCATCTTATTAGGCATGGAAGAGGTGAAAGATCGGGCAGTCTCCCCTCCAATCGCATCTACATGACCGATTTCATTATGGTGATTCCCTCATAAATCAACGACATTGGCCTTTAAAACAGAAATTGCTCATTATTGGGAAAACATTCTACTAACATTGCATGAGGAGCCACAATGGTGTAAACACTTGGGCTGCGATGTTTGTGAACACGTACACATCACAGGAATCAGGCACCTCGTCAAATTCTACTACACTTGAGCAATTAACAAAACCTTTCACTCTATTCAACACCTGTGGGTTATAAAACGTGTTTGATCACTAGAATAGTTCAAAGTCCAATTAAAATGCTTTTTAACCCATGATGTAGCTTATCAAGATTAAATCTAGACTTTATTTCACCTCTAGGAAGAAGAAGGTCAGAAGCAGTATTGAATACACCTGCTCTCCAATTCCGATCATCACCCTAAGGAAAATGAAACCACATTAGCTTCAGATAAACTAATACCAAAGGCCAACTTCCGTAGCCAAGTATAAGAATAGTCAACCGTGTTTAGTTCTATACCCTCCAAGATCAACTAGTTTTTCTGTTTCAATCTTACTTTCCGAGGCCACTGCCTCATTTTGGCTTGAGGGTTGCTCTAACATAGAGCGAGATCCTTCCAAAGCAGCAAATCCATGTTTAGCTATGTCACTGTACCTGCATTCACATCTTCCACCAAAATCTTAGATTTCATCCATGACCTATATCATAAGTACTAGGAAAGATTGCACAATAATCAACAAAAGATTCTATGTCCTAAAGAATTTAGAAGTGTAGACAGCACAGTAAGAGTGAAGCGGTAGATCTAGAAACCTCCTTATTACGAACTGACACCGAGAAAGCAAAACTGAGTTACAACCAGATAAACTGATATCTACTGACACCGAGAAAGCAAAACTGAGTTACAACCAGATAAACTGATATCTGGGACACATGTTTATCATGACCTAGGATGCAAGCAATAAAAGCGGACCATTTATTAAATCTCTCAATGACCACCTCACAAAAGATGGTTATGAAATGCATCCATCAGGAGCACCTTCTTCCCTTGGACCATTTTTATCCCCATAACAACAAGGCTAATCAAGCACCAAGAATTCTATTGAGTCTCTTTAACCTTTCTAGTTATGAACAGCTTGACATTCCTTGTTTTTCTTGCATCGACTAAACAAAAGACGTGTTGCTTTTGCTAGCTTTCAATATTAAGACATCAGTTACAATAGGAAATGCACTAGGTCAAGTTTACCCACAAATTATCGCAGGAATCTTTTCTTTCTCCTTGTTTCCATTGATAACAGAACAACATGTTGACTCCTGCCTTTTAAGTTACAAGAAAGGCCATATGCACATGCTTACAGTATTTTATTTCCTAGTCACGATGCCTAAGTTATCCTTACTTCATGGAAAATTCCCATAAATCAAACAAACAAGACTACCAGAGTAAAAAGACGTAAAATAACTAGTGTAGAATGAAATTTTGGTGAAAGTGAGGGCAATACCATATAGTGCTCAAAATGAAGCTAAATATGTACAACGGGTAGAACCAGAAAACCTGTCGAAAAAAAAAACATCCAGGTAAGAATTAATTAATCCATAAGAGATTATAAGAAATTTCATAACATAAAACATTAACTTTCTCATTATTGTGATATGCCTGCCATTCTTTGAGTTTCTGTAAACCTGATGCGAACTCACCTATCTTAAAATCTTATCTTGAGTTTTTTTCTGTACGAAGGTTACACCAATTAAATAAATAACACTACTCTTTAAATTGAGCAATTTCAGGGGTCAGCAGGCTACTTTCCATGCCCTATATATCTCTCGAGACTATTTCCCAAGCTTAGGAACCTAGAAATCAAACAATAAATTCTATTACCTATAATTTGTTTCTTTCCTACTCAAAAATCAATCCATACTCAACATCTAAAATGTGATTAACTTTGAGTGCTAAGCTAGGAAGAAATCAAAAGTTATGCAACAGATAAGGACAGCAAACGACCCTCTTTTCCACAAAACACTATAGCTTCGGGTAGTGTCCGCTGCCCTGCCAACACGAGGCCATAAAACAGCAGATCTGTTTAGTAAGTAAAAAACTGCAAGTGGCATGAGCATACTTACATAAAATAATTGTACAAGTCCAAAATGTAGGAAGGAGTAGAGCTTCAAAACACCGGAAGAAGGACAAGAACCTTGAGAAGTAATCTGAGAGCAGTTCTCGGGCAATATCCACTGAAGTGTAGGGATGACAAGCGATTTTAAGACAAAGATGCTGCAAATATATCAAAATTATTTTCTTCACACATACGGCATGTAGAATTCTGAAGAACGAAGTGGAAGAGCATTGCCAGAAGAGTTGAGAAACAAAATCTATCAAAAATATCAATTGTTACAAATTACAGCTGTTATTCGCATACATTAATCAAGAGATTCAACTGATTATAACAATGTAGAAAATAACTACAACTGAATGCAATGAAAATGCCATGAAAACACTTCACAGCATGAGTCAACTAGTTTTTGGAACTAATATCAACACATGCTTTGCACATGTTTCCTAACTAAAGATGATGCTAGGTTTTTAGCTCTTCCAGCTAAACATATATATTTTCACTGTTCCAGTCGTCCACTTCATAGCTCTACCTACACCTTTCTAGTTCAAGTTTGCCTCATGCACCAAAAAAATGAGTTTTTAAGAGAAACAGCAATTGTTAAAAAAAATTAATTGATAGTAAAAGAATTAGTCCTTTCATCAAATGTTACCCTAAAATCTTAGCCCATTAAGAATTCGCCACGTTCATTATGTTTATTAAGAGTTTCCAACACACCCACGATTAGTCTTCCTACAATCTTACCCCTCCTTCTTTCATAGCAAGACTATACCCTAATTCAGTGGAGAAACTTTTAGGTGCTCCAAAGGATGATGCAAACAAGCCAACCATGCCAATAACCTCATAGAGCGTGCCAAGTATTATGAGTTATTTTCTTATAAAATTATAACACTTCTCATGTGGCAATTGACTTGGATGGACAGGAGGGCAGTGCTCCACGAGAACCAGAACCCCTCTCTTCATTAACATTAAGTACAAACAGGTACTTCCAGTGGTCCCATTATCATGAGTTTCACTGAAATTTTCCTCCTTTCCCTCAGGCACAAATTTCAAGCAAAGCCAAAGAAACTTCTATCAAAAGGAAGAGAGAACCACAACAGACAACCGCTTGCGCAACAGCACCGACCTCATCACAATTCACAAAAGAATTACAATAGCTTAAAGAGTTCGTTCGAATATCACCATCATCCATGCCTGGAGAATAAGTACACTTCATTCTGATTTATAATTTCCTGACTGCATTCAGAACAACGAAAAAGAAAGGAAGTCCCCTAAGAAAATTTCATCAAACGGGTAAGGATCTTCCAACCGAGGGCACTGGGACATGAAATGACCGAAACAAAAAAGGCACGGCTTTGCAGACAAATCAACGGACGCCAGTCTTGAGGTAATGAACCAAAGATAAGTGCTTTCAAGCTAACAAAGCTTCTGATCTCCTTGATCTCTAACATATAGACCACCAACGACAGTCTCAAAAAAAACCCAAAATCGCAAATTCAATCGAACAGAGAGACCGCGTAGTACCCAACTTCTAAAAACGGCACCTCAGTCAAACACGAAGTCAAATTCATCTGATAAAGCAGGATTCCCAGAGACCCAGCAACTACCTCCCGAGGAATATGAAGCCGTTCAAGAGAAAACACTGCCCGGTCCTGATCGAAAGCTTCTTCGACCTACCACCAAAGCGCGAATTCAACCAAAAAAAGAAAAACCCATTCGGGTCAGTTTCAAATTCCTCCATAATTTCCCGGGGAAACCCAGAAACGCCAATCGAGAAGCAGCGAAGCTCGGAAGAGCCGCAACGACGAGCCAAAAGACGAAGAAGGAAGGAAGGAAGGAAGGTGTACTTGAGGCAGAGGGAGACGACTCGATGTAGGCAGCACGCGTCCGCGAATCCAGCGAACCAGAGGCGCAACGCTGCCTTCGTCTTCAACCTCGCGCCCTCCGTCCATGGCTTCGCGGACTCCATGGGGGCGATCGAGGTTTGCTTGGAGCTCGAGAAACAGTGAGGGACTTCGACCGGAAGGAATGCCAGTCCCTCGTATTACCCGAATTTCGGAATATACATTTATGCGTGTCGTGTAAGGCAAAATACTCGTATTTCTACAGAAAAAAATAAAAAATAAAAAAACACCTGCGTATACGTGATTATCTATAGGACTTACGGAAATATGCATGTACGAAGCACGCGTCGTATTACATTCGAATGAAAATTATCCAACTTATAATTAATTATTGATTTTCAAGTGTCAAATAATGATGTGACGTGCCAATTATTGCTTATATAGGTTATATGCCATGGTAAGGATGGTGCCCGTGCCATGCAAAGCTAGTATAGCTTATGAGGCTTCGTTTGGTTCGAAGATGGTGAATTCTCAAATGGATTTCCATTCCAATTAATCTTCTTTACAACAGTGTCGCGATCTCCCCGCGAGAATAGGTGCCAACAAATAGTTTGTGGATCGTAAGAAATTTTGGTTTTCAACGAGAGAATATTTCTCATTAGTGACAGCGAACGGTAATCGGATATTTGACGGCTAACGGTGAATTTTCGCAACATATGGCGGGAATTTGATTTTTGATAACAAAGTCCCGCGACCAGCGGAGGAGTCCGGCCATGGGCAACAGAGTCCGAGGGCCGACGACGAAGGCTGGCAACCGGTGGCGAGAGCGGCGGCCAGCCGCCACCGGTTGGTGGTGGAATTGGGTATTAAAATGTGAAATGGTACAACCCCAGGTTTAGTTAAGTAATCTATATCACTATATCACGGAATCCAAATCGGTACTCTTTATTTTTCTCAAGCATGACATTAGTGGGAATTAAAATCCAATTTGTCGGCGGAGTTGGATTTAGCGAATGGACCAAACGAGACACGCGTACCACGGTATATTATTCAGGTCAAGCGTGACATTCGCCGCCGTCGCACGTGGGGACAAAAGGGACATTTCTCTGCTTCCACCGCACACTCACACACAAGCTCCCCCTCTTTTTGACTCTCTCTCTCTCTCCGCCGTCGTTCTCCACTAGCGGCGGCGCCCCATATCTTCACACTTCGAAACACACTCTCTCTCTCTCTCTCTCGGAGCTTCACTCGCCGTACCAATGGCGTCCGCGTCGATGTCGTCGGTCTCGCCGTCCCACAGTTCCAGCAACACTTCTCGCCATCCTCAATCACACCTTCTATCTTTGCCTTCCGTGCCTACATGTCTATTGGTTCAACGTGTAACGTGATTCATATATTTTAAATTTGTTCAATATGATCCCTGAAATTTAACCCAATATACATTGTCGTGCATGAACTTTTAAATTGTTCGGCATAGTCTCTTGAGTTTTTTGTACATGTTAAATTTGGTCTCTAGATTATCCAATGTTGTTCATGAACTTAAATTAATGAAATGACAACATTGAATAATATTTGAACATGTATCAAAAGTTCATAGACCACATTAAATAAATTTAAATTTCATGGGCCACATTGAATATTAAGATAAAGTTCAAGGATCACGATGAACAAACTCAAAGTTTAGGAACTCCGTTACATATCAAAGTTCATAGATTCATCCCATACATTTATGCATGTCGTGGTAAGATGAGGCTCTATCAATAAAATATTCAACGAAACAACGTTTGTACATATGCCATTATCGACAAAATTTTCATCTCCTGCGTATTTATTGAACTTACCTAAAAAAATACACGTATCAAATGCATGTCATATTTTAATCGAATAAAAAATTTTCGAGTTTTAACTAATTTCATATTTTTAACGGTTAATTAATGATATGACATAACATATAATTTATATGGAGTACGTGATATCAGATCACTCGACGAAAATATTATGATCTTTTGATTTTTAATTGGATAGTACGAAATAGTAAAATATTCATATTAAACGAGATACCTTTGATAAAATCTTGTAGCATAAATGATCCGATTACAATATGAAAGCATTCTCATCAGTAGAACAATTAATTTAAACTCACAGTATCGTCATTTTTAGATCCTATTATACTGATCATCGAATTTTCTCACGTAATTATTGGAAAAATTACAATAAATACATGAATTTTGCTGTCGAAATTTAAAAGGTCATCCGTATTTAGAAAAGCTAGGAAAAAAATGTGAATTTTGCTGGACATCAGCGGCCGTTGACACTTAAATTTTGGCGATCCACTTAGCTATTTATCACATAAAAAAAATTAGGGGTCAATCGCGGCGCCTAGGAAAAAAATAATTATTAAACTGCATATAAATTTTAGGGGCATTTGTGGTAATAGGCTCATATAGTGCATTTAAATTAGATTGGCGGCGGATAGGCTTGAACGGGTGGTTCGGAACTTAATTAATAAGCTAGACTGAGCCCACGAGATCATTAAACTTTGGCCCAAGCCCATGGCTGAAATCGCTTAATTAAAATGCCGAGTGGTAAAATTGATTTGATTGATTCTTAAACTTGACAGATATCTTTTGTATGGAAATAAATATGGGGAAGAAACTCTAATTGATTCTTATAAATAGAGGGTAGGATGATGCATGTTGAGTATGGATTGATTTTTGACTAGGAAAGAAACATACCATAGCCAAGTTGGTCCAACATCCACTTGGAGATTGAAGAGGGATGAAGCATTGGTGAGTATAGATTGACAATTTGGTAATTTAGTCAAACATTCCCTTGACAACAGACTCGACAGCTGCTCAGACACCACCGTGCCGTAACACGATTCACAAGCACAGGAGAATGTATCCATCTTCTCCACAAAGATATGTGATAAGAGAACCGGCTGATTTCAGGCATATCACCAATCAATAACGAAATGAGGACCTCAAAAGCATTGCCACGGGAGCATTCTGATGCACCAAATGCATACTTCAACTAAATACCGGCACACGAGAATCTGGTATGGCTGTCGCCTTTGTTCAAATAATCTGAAAAATAATGAATTTAATGTAATTCGCCCACAATGAAAATTGGCAACACAGGTCTCAGCATGAACATGCCTTCGATCGAGTGGCAAAATTTCCCTACTCGAAATGGGTATAAAAAAAAAACCATACCAGATTAATCTAGCTAGCAGTAGTTAATAGTTGGAGAAAACCATCGGTTCTAGCCATATCTACAAGGAACTATTTGCTGCTAAAATGCCGATTAAGATTCTAGAATCTCACCGTACTATAATAAAAGGTAAAGAAACGCCGGATTCGCCTAAGATATTATTAAGCTAGTATTTTCCCAAGACAATGATCTTCTTAAGATCAATAAGATTATAGTGTCATATAGATTGAACACAGTTTAATCTCGGTGAAAGTATATATCGAGATTTTAAACTCGACCTCGAGACATATTTATTGAATTTCATAAAAATAATATACGTGTTACATAATTTTTCTTTACAAGTCTTAGGATCCTACAATGCGCAGTTCAATTCCACGAAGTGGATATTCAGACACAGCAAATCACTAAATTAACGGTATTTGCTTTGAGTATATACATCCTACCATAAGACTTTCTAGAAATAGTGCACGGAACATGCACAGCATGTGCACGGTGCATGAGAGTTCCGTGACCAAAGGCCAGGGGATGGCAAAGAGAGATTGAGAAGCATTGAGAAAAATTATAAAACCATTAACCATCTCAATGTACAATCAAAAGCAAGAATGTAATTAATTTATTCTCTATTCAACTTATCTACGCGGTCGTGCATCTATGCAGCTTGTTATCCACTTCTACCCAACTATAAGCTGCTACTTTCTGCACTTTCTTATCCTTCATCATCTTTTGCACATTTAGGGCTTCTTGCCAGTGGCTAGTACCGGAATAAATGTTTGATAGAAGAACATAATACCAAGAACTATCAGGATCTTGCTTTGCCAGCTTCCAAACTATCTGTTTCCATCCATAACTACCCTATCCTTTGTATGTTGGATATGGAAGGACTCAGTCACAGCGCAAATAATTGGCTCCGGACGTAGTGGTCTCGGTATTGGCTCCTTTGCCCTGGATTGGGCTACTGTTGCTGCCTTCAATGGATCTCCGTTAGCCTACCCAGGATTTGCAATTATAAACATAATTGTCGGCCTTTTCAAAAGCAACTTACATCAGGCAAGAAGCAAGACAGTCGCACGTTTGTTGAATTTTGGATGTTTCTACATTCAGATAATAACACACATAATTTTGAATTTTGGTCGTCACGTCACCTCGACAGCTACCACTCCACATTCCGGCGATGTTAATGTTACCGAAAACACACATAAAAAACAAATGCCGTTCTAGCAAATCAAAAACATATATGCACACTAAAGGCAAGGAAATAAAAGATTGACTGTGGCAACCTCAAACTGCAGGAATCACCGGAAAATGGGTTGCGGCTCCGGTAGGTGTTCATCCACAGCCGACAACGTGCTAGAAGGCATGTAGCTGTGGTGGTTGGCGGAGAAGATGGTCGGCCAAGCGAGACGGAGGGGTGGGTGAACCTTCCTAAGAAGGAACAAGAAGAAAACTGAGAGCTGTGTGTCTCCGGCCAAAAAATTCTGATCTTGGAGCCCCTCTTCTCCGAGTGTCCCCTCTAAAATCTCTCTCCCCTCCCCTTCGTTCTGTCTCTCCCTATTTTTGTGACAATCTATGATGTGCCAGAACTTCCCTTTCTTTTTGTCTTTCTTTTCTTTTCTCTTCTTCTTTTTTAAATTTTAATAATATTTTTTAAAAGAAAAGGAAAACATGTTCTACTAAATTTTATTAATGCAAATACATCCAGTGTACACATGCTATGCGATTTAATGAGAATTATTTTTATTTAGGGGTTAAAAATTAATGCGTATACACTTTGAGGAGTCCTTTTAACCATAAATCCTTCTAGAAAAAGTGCACAGGACGTGCACGGTATGTGCACAGCAAGTGCACAATGCATGAGAGTTCCGTGAGCAAAGGCCAGCGGTGATGGCAAAGAGAGATTGAGAAGCATTAAGAAAAATTATAAAACCACTAACCAACTCAATGTACAATCAAAAGCAAGAATGTATGGAGTTCGCTACAAACGGT